ATACACATGTCTTCATTTAGAGAAATACTGAATGGAATGAAACCAAACATGGCATGAATGTTCCTTATGAGGTGCTGACCAAGTGTTGTTACTTTGAAGCCGATCCATCATCCAAGATGGCCGCCAGAGGGGGACTTAGTTAAAATATTACCCTATAGGAAATACATACAAATGTCTTCTTTTAGAGAACCACTGGATGGAATGAAATAAAACATGGCATGACATTTCCTTATGAGGTGCTGACCAAGTGTTGTAACTTTGTAGGCGATCAATCATCCAAGATGGCCATCAGCAGGGACTTGGTTTAACATAGGACCCTATGGGAAATACATTCAAAAGTCTTCTTTCGAATAACCACTGAATTGAATGAAACCAAACATGGCATGAATGTTACGTATGAGGTGCTTACCAAGTGTTGTTACTTTGTAGCAAATCCATCAACCAAGATGGCTGCCAACGGGGGAAATAGTTTAACAAAGGATCCTATTGGAAATATAAACAAATGTCTTCTTCTAGAAAACCGCATAATGGATTGAAACCAAACATGATATGAATGTTCCTTTTGAGGTTCTGACCAAGTGTTGTTACTTTGTAGCTGATTTGTCATTGTCCTTACAAAGTCATTTTCTACAATTTCAATGAATCTATTGGTAATTTCTGTAAACTTTTACATTATCTAAATTTCTGTCAATGAAATGACACATCATTGCTTTAAAGTGATAGGGTACTTCAAATTTTAAAAAAAAATTGAATATGTTTCACATACTTGTATGGTTAAGATAAACCACAAAACACGTGAACATAAGACTTTTTTAAAAAGAAAATCTTTCAAATTTTCAAATTCTTCAGAAAGGCTAATGAATTATTGTCTTCTTGTATTGTCATTCGCCGATAACTTTTCCGTATGCAGTGACCTTAACACGAGACCTCTCGTAAGAACTTCGGCAATCATACAGCACAAGTGCAAGGAAAAATCCTTTATGAAAGAAAAGGTAAACAAACGTGTGTTATTGATGCTGAAAGAAAAAATAATACACCAAATCATTTTACAACTGCCATGACAAAGTTTAATTAACAAATGGAAACGAATGGAAAATATATGAAAAAAAATAAATATCATTCTGTCATCTTACTAATTTTCCACGTGCTCCATAATTCTTTGTTGATTGTTTATTAATGTCACGATCGGTAAACCTCGGCAACAAAACCCGAAAGTTCAACAGTCACTGAATGAAATATCTTTTGTCGTTTATATGTGATGGATTACTAATATTTGTTTGAAAAAACGTGCACAGAGGACTTAGTTTAGTGTATATGCATGCATTGGTTCAATAATTTCCTTAACAATATAATTAAAAGAAACTCTTAGCATATATCAAATATACTTGCAACTATACTTCATCTACTGTGTTAGAAACCTAGATAAAGCCAACGAGGAAATGCATTACTCGACTAATGTTATCTAACGCATTTGCAGATCGATCTAGCATTGTTTGGCTAAATTTCAGACGAAGTATATATAAATTATGGCTTTAGCCCTGTATAACCAATGGTTATCCGATGGAGAACGTCTGTCTTAGAGTTGTCACATATCTAGACGTTTACAATACTAGTATATATACATTGTTGTAAAATACAAAATTAACTTAATCTTTAAAAAAACAGGAAGAAAAGCGAGGCTCGGCGAATTTTTCTTTCGTTTCGTAGAGAGTAATAATTTATTATTTATGTATATATACTGTGTTTGTCCTACAATTTAAACCTGGCAGTTTAGTTATTTAAATTCCAAATCTTTATTGAGGTATTGGAGGAAATCGACATGGTGAAACGCGACCCGTGGAGATGACCCCAAAATGAACTGTTATGTAAGCAGTTATGTTAACATTACTGTTCGCACAAGATGAAAGCAGGATAACAGGCTACAGTATTATAACAGCAAGGATATGTGGGAAGGACGACTGAAATCAACACTAAACAAGTTTAGCGTTCACCAACGCGAATAGAGTTTTTAATACGATGCATACGTGTCTATTAACTCAAGTTATACACAAGGTCTAAACTTAAACCACCAGAATAGTCGTCTAATTTGATATTTTACCATTTTTTCAAATCCCCTATCGTTTGATTTTTACAGAGTCTGTATTTGCATGGTATGCGATGTTTATATTTGCATAGAAGGAGGCACTAAACTGTCGAAGTGCCGTTCACTCGGTTTAGGATATCGTGTTAATTCTGCAGGTTTTATACCTTGGTTCGTGTATTGTAAAATGACTTACAACGTTGGTCAAGTACTGTTGTCTCATATTTAATATACTGTTTAGCAATTGCATAAACATAAAGGTCGCTGAATATATATGCACTCTTACGGTTTTTAAGAGCTTGTAGCTGCTACTCAGTTTGTAAAACGTCATTTGTTACCGAGCAAATAATTAATGAGCCATTATTTTGTCAAAGAACGTCTCGTCATTTTTTCTCAAAAAGGTTATCAGAAAATACCAAGACCTGACAGATAAATAGTCAATTTCTCCTACACGAATCGTACAGGATGGGTTTGGGTTATAAATTCTATGTGCTGATGTTGTGTATCATTTTATTTATTTTATAGTTTTCCCATTATTTGTCTTTGTACTATTATGTTCCTTTTGATTGTATGACTCTTGGTGTGCCTTTGGGCGTTCCTGGTGCGGGTGGGTCCAGTGGTGTTATTCGTACTCATGGGGTTTTCATAGTGTTGTTTTAATTATGTATACCCTTTTGTTTATATTTTACTTGATTTGTACTAAATCGGGAAAGTGTATACTACTAGTATGTTTTACTATACTGTATGTACTACAAAACAATTATTTTTGTATCGTCTTTGTCAGATTTATTTGTATGTTTGTTTGAATTTTGTCAGTTGTGTTGTGTCTGTGATGTATGTTTACACTGTTATGGAAGCTGGGTCCCAATTATTTTCACGATAACCAACTATGTCTGTTTTGGGCTGCTCGCCCAATTTTGTCAATATAACGGAACTATTAACAACTGTCATAGCTATAAATTCAGGTTTGACCCACCAATTCTTCGAGAAATACCTGTACCAAAGCAGGTATATGACAGTTGTTTTCCATTCGTTCCGTTGTTTGATAAAGTCGAGTGTTTGATTTTGTCAGGATTTATTCACTTCCCTCTTTTTAAATTTAACTTAGAGTTAGGTATTTTTGTTAACACTTTTTTACTGCCAATTTATATTTGTAAGTACAAAATATAACAATAAGCAAGAGTAAAAAAGATAAACATGGATAAAAAAACTGCCATCCATGATATAAATAATCAATCAGTTTCTTTGGATAATGTATACAAATTTTACAAATCACTATTTATGATTTAAATAAAACAAATGACAGAAAACATGATAAAATCGAAGATATTAGTAATACTACTACCCTGACTTTGACTAAGAGTCAATGCTTGTCACTTCCTTGGCGTATCCCTTTTATATATATTAACTGACAGGCGCCATGGGTACATCTAATAAATTGTGTCATCCCGCAACATCATAAGTTTCAATTGCTGCAAACGAGCCTTTGGGAGAATCGTATTGTTTAGTAACAAAAGATTTATGTCGCGCCACGGGTTTCCCCCCTTATAGTGACCATCCTCGTGTGTTATATACGACTCCACAATCTGATTAGCCTATTTATCCTCTACAGACATGCAATTTTTATCTTCTAGTGCGTTATCATCAAAGTCCTCCGTTACCAGAACTGACTTTTAGTGAAATGTGAGCTTTTTTTGTATATTTATACTATGAGTGGTTAACGTAGTAACTTTGATAAAACCTGAAAATACGTCTTCTTTTTACTTGTAAAAATATACATAGTAAATTATCTTGCCAACTATAATCTATAGAAATGAAACGATGTCCATCCGAAAATAAAATAAGCTTGTCATGAATCTAACTCTGGATAAGGTAATGTATGTCAAAGGTGTAACGTTATAAAACACAAAAAAGACAATTTATATGAGCGCAAACTTACATAAGCGCTATCATACGAAAATAGTATGGCTATTTACAAGGTATAAAGTAATATTGCAATACTCCAATTGAAATCAATAAACAAAAAAAATACATATAAAATCTTACAACTGTTTTCTCTTAACAAATGTGCAGTTTGGTGAGCACCAGTTGGCTGCGCCATTGTGTCACTTGTTTACAACTGCATTTCTAGCATTTTATTTGACATTTAAACATAAGTATATTTAATGAATTTAATATATTTATCGGTTATTATATACATATTAAGCCATATTTTTTTTACATTCGGTCCCTTTCATTTTCAACAGAACAACGTGAGATTACCTACAAATTTAATAAAACAGCGTCCTAAAATAAAATGAAAACAAAAATTTATAAAGCACTTCATGGATTTACCTTCATCAGGACGCTAAAAGCCGAATATTTGAATGAAGGATGTATAAGAAACGAAACAGTTGAAAAGCTATATGACAAAATGCACCTAAAAATAGCCAAATCTTTCAAATGTCAAATTTGACTGAGTGGGTTGAAACCTTAGTTTCTTTATAATTTATAAATTTATGAACGGACAATTGGCATAACTGTTTTCTAATTGAAATTGAATAGTTGTTTAATCTGCTTTCAACGCGAGCGTTCTCAAGCTTAAAAACAAACGAACGACAAATGGAAACCACTTATCGTTTAAGTATGAATAAAATTATCAAAACTAAGTACAAGAGTAATTGATTTAGAGTTCTGATATTTAGGTTTCTGTGGTATTACCTTCATGTTAACTTGCCTTCTGTTTCATCTAGTATACACAGCTGTTGTTTTTAATTTTATTAACAAAATTGATATTATGTGGGGTCATAATGCAAATCAGTATAGAACTATTAAAGAGACAAACTACAAAACAATATATCCAGCAATTGATCAAGTATTATTTTCGTTTTATGAAATATCATAAATCACAAACAGATTTTCTGTCAACCAACAAGCAATAATAGACAATTACCCTAGTTATAAATACAATGTATATAGTACTTTAGGAAGTTAATGACTTAACCATAAGTTAATTAACCCTAGTATACTAATTCATAAAACAGGAGCTTGTATTACACCTAATTGAAATTTTCAGAACATCGCAAATAATTCAGTACTTAGTTTATAAAATAAACCCACCAATACCACTCTTTAAAACTGTCTTTCTGTTTAGCATCACGTACAAAATTAAAGTTCCCCTTAGCTGTTTTTCCCTTCACAAAATTACATTGTTGCTACACAATTTCTATGTAATTATGAGGCGTTTCATACTGCTCCTCTTCTGTACTCTCTTTGTCAATTTCATCGTATCCTTCATTTTCTTCTGCATCCTCCCTTATATGCATGTCGCTAATTTCTTCGTAGTGGGGTAACACTATGTCGTAAATTCGTTGATTTTCTATTGGCTGTGCTTCATAATAACTAAAAACAGTTAGTCTTTATGTAGTTTTTATACATAACTTGTAAAGAACTTAAAGCTATATAAAATGCTAGCAGTATAGAACCAGTCATCAAATCAACGAGCTAACATTTAAGTTTTGGAAAAAGTATACTGTGTTAGTTATTGTTTGTATATCTAATGAGTAGACGTATTTGCAGGTGAAATAAATGAATTCAGTTTGAAAATATCGCATTCTTACATATGTGACCACAACTGTCACAGTAAAATAGTTAACATAACTAATCTACCCTTATCTTGGTCATCTAGTTTATAAAATCATAACCAGAATGCGTAATCAAACTATTTTCCTAACATAAAGTGTTGTGATGAAGAAATGATTTTACTTACATTTCCCTCTCGGTGCTATTTTGTCCTATGGTAAATCCTGTGTGTAAAAGGTAATATATCTTAGATATTTTTTTTTCAATTTGATAACTGAACACAATTTGTGTACAGTTACATTTACTCTCATTTGCTTAATCTTTATATCATAATTTTCCACTTGGAAAAATATCATTAAATAAAAGGTTTTACTTAAAAATAAAAAGATGAACTACGAAAACTAAACACTTTTAATGTAAATCCACCGACGCCATTTCTTAAATAAATCGTGATATGCAATTATTGAAAATATGCGAAATAGCATGAGATTTATCAAAAACCAAGTTGAAAAGCTCATATAATTTTTAGAAAAACTCAGGGAATTTTGTCTATCCAATTGGATTGATGTTATCCCGTGGGACAAAACAAATCCCATGGGACAAATTAATCCCATTGGACAAAATAAAATTCCATATAATTGAAATTATAAATATACAGTAATATGCTTATTAATTTTTTTTTGTTGTGTATTTAACTATAATATCAGAAAGTCACTCAACTATTCTATTTGAGTTCAATTCAGTTAACAAAGCTATTTTTTCTCTTCTGATTTTTGAAAAAAACGAATATAGATGTCTCCTTTTTTGGTAATATCCATTTGACGTGGCTCAGTACTTATACATCCCGTCATTGTATTATTGTGCTATGGTAAATTTTTGTATTTTTGTCTTTCGTTTTTGCTAATTTGCTTTGTTCATATGTTTTTTTGTTTTTCTTTGTTGACATATTTGTTTGTTTTATAGTGATTAAGAATATAACACAATGTTGACTGCTGTATCCCATTTTTGACATTTGTACCTATTGTGTTGGTTTGTTTTGTTCACACGTTGTGTTCAATATAATGGAATTTAATGCGACTGTCGTACAAGTGCGAGGTTTAGCTAGCTATAAAACCAGGTTTATTCCACCATTTTTATACATAAGAAAATTAATGTACCAAGTCAGGAATATGACAGTTGTTATCCATTCGTTTGATGTGTTTGAGTTTTTGATTTTGCCATTTGATTAGGGACTTTCCGTTTTGAATTTTCCAGGGAGTTCGGTATTTTTGTTAGTTTACTTTTTTTCAAATATTTCTTGTAATTTCATTTCAAAAAAAGTGATGAACTACGAACACTAAACATTTTTAATGTAAATCCGCCGACGCCATTTCTTAAATATACTGTGATATGTAATTACTTAAGATATGCGGAATAACATGAGATATATCAAAAACCAAGTTTAAACGCCCATATAATTTTACAAAACTCGAGGGGATTTTGTCTATCCAATTGGATTGATTTTATCCCGTGGGACAAAACAAATCCCATGGGCCAAATTAATCTCATTGGACAAAATAAAATTTAAAAATCCGGTAAATTAGAACCGCTACGATTGCAAAGATTTCAAAGTTACAAGGCTGTTACTGTCTGCAATAAATTATCGTTTTGACCTCAACCAAAGGCTACAATTGTTATATTATTTATCAACAACTATTGCATGAACAATGTAAAATTGGGGATTTCTATAATGTATGTTTAGTAATATGCTGTATGACTTGTGCAATATGCTGTTTTGACATATGAAAAGCTAAACACAACAAACTGAGTAAATACAAATGTACATGTGATCAAGTTTTAACGAATCACAAATCCTTAAAAAATATCCGATTAACAATTTTAAGATTTATTCATCTTCGAAAAGTCATATTTCCTTATGGCGATCCCTCCGGTAAATATGAATTTTCATGGGTGAAATAATATTTTCATATCTGCCAACAGGCAGGGAAATAAATGTTTAACAACGTTCACATAATGTTTTTTTCATGATGAGCACTGTTCAGGAAATTTTACACGGAAATATGTCAAGGAAGTAGATCTAACGTTAGGATGAATGAAGATGAAAAATACAAATAGCTCTTAATTCCCAAAGTAATGGAGTCAAAGTTCAAGTGCATCCTTTTTTTGTTGCTGTTCCAAACACTTTCAAGCATTTGGCTTCATAGTAATTTAATTTTGATTAGAGCCTAATTGAAAGCCTTCCACGAAACAATTTGCTCTTTAGGGTCTCATATATTTATTTTGCTAACAATTGAGACATCTATTAGTTGTGAATATTGTTTTAATTACACTCTATATGGTCAAGTACTACTAAGTCTATATTTCATATTTTATTGTCTGTTCATTCTTTCTTGATTACTTAAAGCTTGGGACTCAAAACATTTTTTTTGTGTTTTCCATTGAAAGGGTTTATTGTTTTGAGATTATTAGGTTGCCAAATTATGTTGACATTTATGCATTCTTGAAGATCGTATGGTATTTATTTGTTGTTGACTTGTACTGTTGAAGGAGCATTAGCTACGATAAATACAAAGTAGAAAAGGTTTTTTTTTTTGTTCAATCATTAACGAAAGTGAAAAAGTGAAATAATAATTCGCTTTTAGCAGCGAGTTTGGTTCAATTTTGTCCCAAAAAAAAGTTTAGAAACACCGCTGAGAAATTATTCACTTGAATAATTCGAACTCCTTAAATCCGTGTTCATGTAACCTTCAATTTAACCCCTTAGCTAGATTGAGTTACGCATAAACTAGGCGTGTTCAGATATTAAAGGGAAAAGAATGTCAACATTGAAAGTGAAATAAGGGTAAAAATTTGGTTGACTGATTCGATCCGCAAAATCACATTCTTATACAGGTAAAAACAATGATTAACAGATTTTTTAAACCTATAATATGAAATCAAGCTGACCTAGAAAAATCCGAATGCACGTGTTCGCTATCTATTTATATCTATATTATTTTTTATTGAGTTCTATGATCGTAGGCAGTCTTCGGAGGTCACCTCGATGATGAATTAGATGGCATCTAAACTGGAATACATACGAAATGCCTAAACATATTATCGAGTCCATGCATTGAAAATTGTTCATTTTAGACTTTTTATAATTTGGATATAAGTTTTAGTATGTTATGAATCAAATATGAGAATTTGAGTCAAATCGGTGAACATGAATCTGACAGCTAATGTCCCTTTGAGTTGGTATCAGCCTTATTTACTTTAAATCAGATTTATGAATACTTAATTGCAACATCTAATATGTATACGGTAACTGTCCTTAAATATTGAGGCGAGCGCGGCTTGAAGACTACTTGAAATGTTTATAGTGATACACAGCTTGGGTTCGTGTTTCTCAAACTGTTTTTATGCACTGATGCATTATGTTGATAGTTTTTATTAGTTTGTCAGTTCTTCTTCCATAGGAGTTTGAATGTCCAATTAGAAGCTTCTGTCTCGGTGTTACACATGTGCTCCTAGAAAGGAGGAAATAACTCAGAGAAGAAGAAGAGAACCTATAACACTGATGATAAAAACATTTCTCAGTGGTGCTAGTTTGTAGTATTTCTTTTTTTTTCGAAAGGTGCGAGTCAAGTTCTGTCTCTGTGTGATACGGGTGCTTCAAGAACGGTGGAAATAACTCAGAGAAGAAGACAATCTAGAACTCTCTGATGATTTAAAACATTTCTTCAGTGGTGCGAGTTTGTATTATTTTTTTTTTCGAGTGGTGCGAGTTCTGACTCTGTGTGATACGGTTGCTCCGAGAAAGGATGAATTTACTAAGAGAAGAAGAAAACAATCTAATGATTAAACACGTTTCTTCGAGTTTGTTATATTTTTTTTTTTTGGAGTGGTGCAAGTTGTAATAATTAGTGAGAGTGTTTGAGTGGTGCGAGTTGGCCGTGGGCCGAGTTGTCGGGCAGTACGTTGACTGAGCATGCGCGAAAGCGTATAAGACACGGATCGATAACGGTCTCCGAATTTGGATATTTTCTCAAAAATTGGCGTTTTCTGTGGAAAAAAGATTGTTTCAAAGACAAATTTAGGAAGTACAAAACACTACATTTATACGTCATATCACAAATATTTGCGGCTCAATGAAATCGGTCTCTTCCTTTAGTTGTATAGATTTATATTAGACAAAAAATATAATATTCAATATATGAAAGTTGTTTCTGTGTATCATATGTATTGATAAAAAGTGGCATTCTCTTAAAATATTTCAGCCTGTTTAACGATAGTCCTATCTGTATAGTTATGGCTTACAAAATTATAAAACTAGTTACCTCCATGGGAAAATCTTCTTGCTAACAATACTATAAGAACAGTTATAGTAATGAATCCAACGACTCCTGTCGATATCCAAACTAGCAATTCCGTATTTAGAAATAGATTCCATCTGATGCCATATCTTACATTTTCAGTGTCGTTTTCTGTATTAAAAATGCAAAATTATATATACTTATGTTTTTATTTGCAAAAAGTTTAATCGAGGCAGCATGTTATTTAAGAATGAGTGCACATTTGAATTAAGAATCGATTATTATATTAAGTCTATCACCTGATACGATCTGAAGACTGTAGTTAATGAGAAGAATGGAGACAAACATGATTACAATTTTAAAAGTGCCTTAACGAGCCTACATAAATGGCGAGCTTACAAATAAAATGAATTATAAGTATAGTGCATATATACTTTTATCTGCTGATCACAAAATACTTCCACTTGCCGAATCATCTACTTCCACAGTGAGAACAGTAGCTTTTTCGTTCGGGTTTTGACCCCGGGGATCTTAATTGTTTTGCAAAAGATTATCTTCTTAAACTTTATTAAAATAAAAAAAAATCAGGTAGAATAGAGCGTCAATTTTTAATTATAACTCTTTTAACTTGCCTCTTCTCCTTTTAAGGGGTAATACCACCATTGTTTTTTGCCTATTAGTCTTTGTTAAATTAGCATTTTTCCAAAAATTGTGCAGAATTTATCTTTGTTTCAAATAACAAAAATACTTGACATAAGTAAAGTTTATCCTGTCCAGTACTACAGTGAAAAATTCACAAAACATTTCATTGTATATAAGATAATAACCATTACCCGAAGTAAAACAATCATCCCTTTTTTCCATGTCTACAAGCTTTAGTAACCATGTCACGTCAAGTTTCCAAAATATTCTATAGAAACTCAAAATAAAAAAAAACGATGGTGCTTTGAAACACCCAAGATATATAATTATGAATACAAAAACAATTCTGCAATGAAATGCAGGATTAATTTCCTACAACTGTCAAACTCAAGGGAAAAAATTTTGCGACCCTTCTTCGTATAAAACCGGATATGACGTACTAATGTTTTGGTGGTATCACATCTCAAGAATTATTTTGCTAATAACACGTTTAAATTTAAATAATGATGATTATGATCATAAGCTCTCATTATGTCTGGAGTGTTTGTATCAAAAAGTCAAAAATTAATTACACAGTGGGAAATCTAGTGACAAAATATTATCTCCCCTGTAAACACGGAAAACTATATCTTCTCAATGTTTGTCCCATTTTAGCAAGGACGCTATCAATTATGGATTCACGGGAAAACGTTCTGGTTAATAGTAAAAATAAGAATAAGTTGAAATAAAAATAAAACTTCCATTTAATGTTTTCATTTCACTTCTTAAGTAGCAAACGAAGAGTACAGCAGGCTATAGAAGCTTGATGTAAAATTGGTTTAAAATTATATTATGCGAATAAATTCCTGGAGTCCCAACTTCAATTTTTTTTCTACTGGCTGTATACCTCTCTGGAACATGCTAATTATCGTATATATTTACAGCTTGATCAGAGAATGTCAGGGAAAAATTTCAAAAGAAGTCGATTGATAGGCAGCAAAGATTGGCACTTTTGAAATTAAGTTACTAAGCAAATTCAAACGGACCTTATATCAATGTAAATGTTGAATGTTAACAGATCGAGAAAACCGCAAAAACATGTACAAAAATCGAGACGACCTTTTCATAAAATTGTATAAAAAATAGTAGAAAGAAACATACTTTATAAGCATGTTTATCTTTAATTTCTTAACCTGCACAGACAGAATTTAAAATTTTTATATTCACGAAAAACAACATTTCTCTATTGAATGTACATGTGACAAGAGCAGACCGGTGTGCTCGATAACTTAGGTGTGAAAAAATAAGTATTCTTTGGGAAATTGTAACATGCAAAGGACTTTGTGGAACACTCTGAAAATTGATGACCGAAAGATCTTTAGATTCTGTATGTACATGATTTTTTCCAATTTTTTTTATCAATATGCAGCAAAGATTGGCAGTTTGTAAATTTCAGTTTCACAAGCTTCTTATGCAATTATCTCAATAAATACTGAACATAAAACATCATGTATTTGCAGGTATATTTCTAATAACATAGTTCATCAAATAATGTCTTTAAATGTACAATAATTACTAAGAAATAACTTTTGATCAGGATCGTCACCGGCATTGTTTTATTATTGACTTTCTCGACTCTATCATAAGAAGAGTGAATTTTCTTTTGTTTTTGTTCACTAGATTTCCCACTGTACAAGCTTACCCTGTGTGTTCATTTCGTCATAGTTTTCTGTACTATTCCACTTGCGATAACGATCATGGACAGTTGATGCTATCAGAGGGAAAGAGTTTGATGTTTGCTCAGTTCTTTTCTCATCTAAAGTAAATAAAAGATATGATTTGACAAAACATAAATTTCAGTTATGCTTCCTATTATAAAATATTCATTAGCAAATAAGCAGCAGTAAAGGCAGTCGACATTTCCCCAAAATGTGCCATGGCATTGTCAGTTGTTTTCGACTGATGACTTTGAATATCACTTTGGTATCTTTGCCTCTCTTTTATTTATCTGTGAGTCCGTAAGATTGTATCAATACCCCGATGTTTTAATGAGTTACATAAATTATTTCTATTAAAAGATCAAGGCTTCACCAAATAGAGAAATTATTTATAAATAAATATTATGATTTCTGATATTAAATGAGGAACAGTGTGCAGTAAACACATATCTATATAATATAAATATAGTCAGTCTGTTTTATTCTTTTAAAAAAAAAATCTTTAAAAACTTATCACAAAATATAAGCGCTGTTTCATTCCTTTAACAATTTACTAAACGACGTTGACTGGGAACTCTGTTAACACTTCTTTGTAAATATTTTAATACGATAAAGGTTTATATGCAGACATCAAGAAATTCCTTATGATGATAAAGCAACACAAAAGACTGAACAATCCCCCTTAATATTTGAGATTCTTTAATATGAGATAACTATTGGTAAGTAAATATTTTAAAGCATGAAGATCGCCCGAATGGGTCTAATAATACACGTTGGTTACGAAGCAATCTCTACATGATAAATGATGCCGTTTAAACCTAACAGTGAGTTTGGAAGGTTTTACTAAACTTTAACAAACCATGCTACATTAGGAGCAAAGAAGACAACTGTTTGGTGGAAAATAAATATCTATTTTTGACGTTGTTACACCCTTTGGGAAGGCCTTTATTCACTAATTTCAAACAACGTGGTTTCTAGCCGAAACTCTCTAAACCAGTTTTCAATTGCATTGATTAACTTTTGACATTTGTATAATTTAGTTGTCTCGGCTTTTGTCAGCTCTGTCGAATTTTGTAGCACATTGAACTTTCATCCACAGGATATGACATAATAATTAATAGAACCATCATGACTTTCCTCCAACAATAATGGTATTACTCATTTTAAATTTATCGCGTTTCTCCTGATCAATTTTATGACTCTTTTCTATAGTATGTAATCTAATGGATAATTGTTATATTTGACTTGTCTGTGACGTCAAATACGTTGACCCGGCCTTAATAACTTTGGCCCGGATATATCACCGACGTCATAATGAATTAACCGACGTTGATAAATTTTACCCGAAGTTATCAAGTCTACTTCCGGTTTGCTGGAGAAGCAAAAAACACTTGTTTCTGTCATGCAAAATACGCAAATACAATCCGATAAAATCGATTACCCAGTTGTTTGTATATTGATATTGTAAAATATTAGCTGCTCGACACAATATACAGCCTTTTTGAACTCGTTCGCTGCGCTCCCTCAATAAAAAGCTTCATATTGTAACTTGCAGCTGATATTTTACAATATCAATATGCAGACAACCTGATAATCGGTACATATCATTCTGTAGTGAGTTATCTTGCTGTCCTAAGCTAATGTCTCTATATGTCTGCACGTGAGAAACTGTATCAAATTTAAGCTTTTAATACATAAAATAAAGCAAAACTATCTTACCAAGAGTATCAACAAACACACAGTCTCCAATTACGCCGACAGAAGCAAATTCCATGTTGCACATAACAGTAATCGTTGTCTCATGATAAAAATTATGATACATCCACATATACGATCGTCCTTCATTTGAACATTTGCACTTTCCTTTGGTGCAGAATGATATGTTTGGAGATGAATAACAATTATCTCCGACCTTAATGATCGTTGTATATGGATTTTCATTTAAAATGAAATTTGCTCTTAATCCAACGGGTATTTTTTGAGAAATGCAAAGTAGGTCCATTTTACTGTTTTTGTGTATGTATTTTGGTCCACTTATGTTGACACTGCTCAAAGAAATCTCATCTATAATTGAAAAAGAAACTCATAAGAACTTAAAATAACCTTAATGCAAATTAGTAATGCTTCTAATGAGGTAGGGCCTATTTCTCCTGTATGTGTATCAATTACAAAACCTTTCGGAGTTTTGGGTCCTCAATGCTGTTCAACTTCGTACTTTTTTTGCCTTTTAACCTTTTTATTCGATTGTCACTACTGAGTACTTTATAGACTTTGTCTGGCGTACAAAATTATAAGCCCGGTATCTTTGATAATTTTTTAACAGGCTCAAAATTCTACTAAAATTTTGATATTAAAGATTTATATAACTACATGTAATATAACACATTTTAATACAATTTTGCACATTTCCTGAATTCGTCGCTGCATAATTCTGTTGCAGGCAAGTTGCAAATTTTGTAAAATTTGGCACCAAAGGATCAAAATGAACTAATTTGTATCCAGAAGACATTATAGAATTTCTATTTCAACCGAATTTTGGGTTTTGGTTTTGAATGTTCTGCTCATACATTGTTTCGATAAATACTCAAATTTTATCAAAAACTTTCATAGTTGCTGTTATAAGCTATTACCAGGAGTTTATCATTTTTGTATCTGTTTAGAAATAAGCCATAATATGTTTAGAATTTCATAGTACAAACATGGAGCGATGATACTGTGAATTTAAGAAATGATTTCTAGACTTTTTGGAAATGGCTACCTTTTTTTTTAATAACTAGTCATCATACACACAGAAACATGTCGTGGTAAACAAACTTAGTTTTCAAACTCGTTATTTCATTGACATTTCAGTTGAAAGATAGTCTATGTAAATAACACCAAACGACAAAAAAAAAGGATTTTAGGTTTTGCGAATGATTTAAGTTTAAGACGACATTCCAAAATTGTCCGAAATAAATTTAATTTGCTATCACTTCATGTGTCTATGACAAATCTATAGGCTATTTTGTTTTTTGTAAAAAAACTTTCGAAATTTAATAATTTGATGATTGCGTATCCAAATACGAATAGTACGGATAAGAACGTTTAAGATAGAATAGTTTCTAGGGACACTATTTTTTTTATATTTTAAGAATTAAACTGTCTCGAGTGGAGAAGTATCGTATCAAACTCGACGCAGCGGTAGAATCTATACTTCATCCTTCCCTTGAACTATCATATAGTGTAAATATAAACATTGCATCTATAAATTATCTAAATTTCGTTTATTGTAATCAATATATGTTTATCTTTCATATTGGTCTGCCTATCAGCATGTCAAATAGTTCTTAAACTGGTCAATATTATTGCATATATAATGTAACTTATGCTCCAAAATGCAGCTTTCTAAGTAGATTCTACTTATTTACTAGTTATCACGAAATTCGTTTTCGTTTAGCATTCTACCTTTGAGGAATATAATAAAAGTCTGAAACAAACAGCACAACCCGTTTACAGTATTAATATGAACATAATATGGGTTATTACAAGCTGCACGGTGTCCTATATAATTGCCTACATTAACGTCATGTTTTCAATTGCAATTATTCCACATCTTGTTTCAATATCCTGTCTAGTTTCAATATTCTGTGGTTTATTTTGTTGAGGTTATCCCTCATGCATTACGTACAGACGTATGCACGTACGGCGATTAGCAATAAATATCTCCACAGCTTCGATTAGAAAGACTAAACTAAAAGAGTGTTTGGTATATTTCAAAAGTCTATGAGTAATGAAGAAAAACAGAAAAAGTTACGCAGTGTATAACCTGTTTCTCCTGTTAAATGGATACCAATACTAGTTCTATCCTTCGATGCACCATGGAGACATGACCAGTTTCCATTAATTTTATTGTTTATCTTCCCTCGAAGAACAAAAACTGTTTCGTTTGTTGACAATTGTTGATAAACACTTCCATTCCCATAATGACTAAAACAAGTTTGGGTTGGAATCGGTGGAGAGCAGTATGCAACTTCCTGATTTAAGGGATCATGGAATGAAACTGAGAACACCATTCGATGTACTTTACATGTCAGTGTTAGCAGTCGTCTATCTACAGTCCATTTCATACATATTTGGCAAACGCAGTTCTGGTGTACTGAAAAATAAAAACAAATGTCTTTCCGAACAAGATCAGAAAATGCAGTGAAATTATGAAATATTTAATCAAGCTATACAAATATACTGATTTGAAATATATTGAATAATATATATTTCATATTATTGCGAGCAAATGAAACATTACGACAGAGTCATCTTCTCTTGGTCAAGGCATTTAAACTTTTGTCTGTTCTATTGTCCCATTGAATAAATACAAAAGCTATTGTTCTCTGTGTAGTTTATTCACTGGGACCTTCAAATTTCTTCTAAGAGAAATCCATCACTCGTTGATTAATTTACCTGAGGAGAACAATTAATTAAAGAATCAAGTTCAAGGCAAAGCATAACAAACAAACAATTTTTGTGGAATTAACGGCCACAGCTCACTTTGAATGACGAGGTCTGACATGATAACAGAATGCCGACATGATTGATTTAACTGACAAATCTGTGCACCATTGGTAGCAATGGATGCTCAAGTTCCTCCAGGTTAAATCCTAAAGAGAGCGAGGGCCATGATCCCCAAATACGTCGGGTCTTATTCGCATCACCCCCTGGTTTCAGGGGAGTAAAGATTAACAATTTAACAATTTCTAGATCATAAAACAGTTAAGCTCGAACTGGTACCAATTCAGAACCGGCCACTCAGGGAAGACATGAGATGGTCTCAACAGAACTTCCTGCGGTAACGCAGGAAAGTAAAAAACTAATATGATCCGACGTACAATACAGGAACGGATCATGACCCCTTAATCTTGCCAGATCCCGCCAAACAACTTTTTACTGTGACTAAACATTTTATTACCATATAATGAACAATTATACTATTATTTGAGATATAAACGCTGAAAGTTCATAACAAACATTTAAAGTTCTATACGTGTTCCTGGTGGATAAACTAAATAATCATACTGATTGTTCCAATCACATTGCTGGTGGCTGATTGTCCTGGTAAAACTGTATAACACTCACTCAAATTTTGAATACGATAGTTCTCAAAAGTTTGTTCAGCAAGCAATTCCATCGGCTTAGTCTAGTCATCTTTATTTTTTCCAACAACGTATTATGTATCAGGCTTTTCTCTGAACAGCCTGAAAAATGAATAAAACAGCAGCAGACACAAGTAATTGTTGGTAGATTGTGAGGGGAGGTGGGTGGGTTTTTGAAACTTTCACTTATCTAGAGCGGCTAGTTCAAATGTGAGGCTGAAGTCACGTGATGTTTCTAAGCCGGAAGCGAGATGCGGATCCGAATGATAAAATATGTCTTTGTGGAAAATAAATATATTAATCAAACCTCTTTCATTAAATTGGTTTATCTTATAAGTGATAAACCTTCTTAATTAAAGAATCAAGTTTAAGTTTAAACAAACAAACAATTTATGTGGAATTAACGGCCACAGTTCACTTTGAATGACGAGGTCTGACATGATAACAGAATGCCGACATGATTGATTTAACTGACAAATCTGTGCACCATTGGTAGCAATGGATGCTCAAGTTCCTCCAGGTTAAATCCTAAAGAGAGCGAGGGCCATGATCCCCAAATACGTCGGGTCTTATTCGCATCACCCCTGGTTTCAGGGGAGTAAAGATTAACAATTTAACAATTTCTAGATCATAAAACAGTTAAGCTCGAACTGGTACCAATTCAGAACCGGCCACTCAGGGTAGACATGAGATGGTCTCAACAGAACTTCCTGCGGTAACGCAGGAAAGTTAAAAACTAATATGATCCGACGAACAATACAGGAACGGATCATGACCCCTTAATCTTGTCACGTGAGTGAGTCTATACACACTCATTAAATACTCTCCACCCCTTTTTTCAACCCCTTGAAAAATTATTAGAAATTCTATTCCAAATTAGACTTCGGGGAAACGGCGAATTTTGTGAGATGATAGGAAAGTTTCAATACCCCCTTGTATGTTGTTCAAGTATATATCATATCCAATATCGGATAAGTGAGTTCCGTCAAATCTATACAAGTTCATCTCTCGAGCTCGGATATTGGGATGCTGAATAACACAATGCCCATCATTCAAGACATAATTGATAATAGAAGAATTTACTCGTTTACGAGATCTTTCGATAGCTTTTCCGTCTTTAGCACCGTGCCAATACCTACGCATTAGCATTTCGCTCCATACGATGCGAGTGTTAGGTAGAAGTAAATGCAGACGCAGAAGATCCTTTTCAATATTTAAGATAAGTTCCAAGGTTTTTACTTTTACCAGATCATTGGAACCAAGCTGAATGACTATCATGGCGGGAGGAGAAAATTTGTCAACTGCATGTGATACCTTGGCATTAAATTCATTCCACAACATACCCCTTTTTCCAAACCAGCGTATGTACACCCCTCTGCTTTGAAGACCAATGTTTGGGCCCCCGTTTCTCGTTTTTTGCATTTGTCTGTGTCCAATATACAATTGAAGATCCGACGAACCAAATAGCTTTTGAACCTAAAAGGAGGTAATATGTATTATAATATTTAAAACACTTCGTTTGAGCTGTAATGAAAGTTAAAGACTCAGATACGAATATAGCGTAAATATGCAACGGAAGACCATCGGCCGCACTGCTTGATAATATCGTCTTTAACACCATTTTTTGCCATATCAGTAGCTCGTCCTATCCGAAAAGAATGAGAAAGGATGTGAAACGGTAGTTCACAGAAACCCAAACATTTTTGAAGCAGGGAACAAAATTGATATTTTGTTAAGGCCAAACCATTAAAATGTGTATATAATTTATTTGATCCATTTACGCCGGAGAAGCGAACCTTTCATTGCATGTCCGCTTTCGTCAGTACGACTGTTTATAGCCAACTCACTTACCCGTAGCATGGCGAAGTACGCAAGAGAAAAGGCAGAAGAAAACAATATAGTTTCATACTGAGAATTACAAACGCTGCGTAGACTGTGAATTAAACGTTTTAACAAGTCAAACGATATCGGCGTTCGAACATCTAGTTTTTGCGGATTTTTTCTACGCAATCCTTCAATCATTTTGCAGATGATGAATGATTTCGTGTTATCTGTTACATTGTTAATCTTGTGTGTGTGGGCCAATCCGGAGATGTAAGTAGAAACAGTAGACGCAGAGAAACCTTTGTACGACAGGTATGCTATAAATTGAGCTATTTCGTCGATAGGTACCGGCCAAATATCACGATAGTTATAAATAATGCGAAACTTTTTTAAACATTCTTCTGCTGTTTTATAGGTTTTCCAGGAGTTGGGAGCCATTGAACATTTAAGTAATAGGTCTGCCTCGTCTTTTAACCTTTCCAGAGGTGGGCCGGAATCGTGTATGGGTTTGCATCTGCTGTGGGGCATAGTTTCCGGAACTTCTGAAAATCACAACGAGAGAGGGAGTCAGCAAGAGAATTCAAATGACCTGGGATATGTTCTGCTTTAATCAATATGTTATATTCCAAGCAGGCCAATACAAGTTTTCTGATCAGGGACATAACACTTGTCGACTTTGAAGATTTTTTATTGATTATAGAAACTACGCTCTGGTTATCTATGTGAAATAAAATTTTCTTGTTTTTTAACATGCCTCCCCAAATGTTCAAAGCAACGACTACAGGGAACAATTCTAGAAAGGTAATATCGGTTAATATTCCAGAAATTATCCAATTGTGGGGCCAACTCGCCTGGGCCCATTTCCCTTCAAAATAAATACCAAAGCCTTTTCCGACCCCACCTGCACTGTCAGTGAACAATTCGAGATCAGAGTTAGATGACCAGAATTTATCCAGAATTACGGTAGTACCATTGTAATTTGATAGAAATAGTAACCAAATATTAAGGTCTTCTTTCATAGCCTTAGTTATTCTGGTTCTGTAATGGGGCCTACGCAAATTGCAAGTGGCGTCAATCAAACGACGACAAAAGGCTCGACCCGGGACAATTACTTGACATGCAAAATTTAGTATGCCAATCAATGATTGTAAATCCCGAATTGTGATTTTGGATCTACCTAAACAAAAAGAAATTCTGGCTTTTAACTCAACAAGTTTTTCTTCGGGTAGACGCATTACAATGTTGATGGTGTCAAATTCTATACCAAGGAATATCAACACTTCCGTTGGCTCGACCGTTTTTTCCTCTGCTAACGGAACCCCCCAAAGTTTACAAGAATCCTGAAAACACTTCAAAGTGTCGTGGCATTGTGAAGTTTGTGCCTCGCCTCCAAACAGAAAATCGTCCAAATAATGTAAAATATTGTCGTTTTTTGACTGTTGCTGTACAACCCAATGCAAGGCGGTGGAAAAAGATTCAAATAGCGCCGAGCTAATACTGGCCCCCATTGGGAGGCATTTATCAAAGAAATATTGATTCTCAAATTTGAACCCCATCAGATCAAAATCACCCGGAGAGAGTCTAAGCAAACGAAAATCCGATTTTACGTCGCACTTGGCCAAGAGCGTGTTCTTTTTCAATATGTGAATCATATTGACAGCGTCGTCTATGCTTGAGTATTTTACAGAACAGTACTGCTTGTCAATAAAGTCATTAACGGAGTGATGTATAGGAAAGGACAAATTATGAATTAACCTGAATTCTGAACTAGATTTTTTAGGGATAACCGAGATCGGAGAAACCCGAAAGGTGGGGAACGGAGGTTCTGAAAAAGAACCAGCTACCCTACCCAGGTTAATTTCTTTAAAGATTTTGTCCCTAGCTATGGTGGCTTTCTCCCCATTCATTTCTTTATAATCTATAGCCATAGGAAGTCTCGGACCGGAGTATTTTAGTTTAAACCCAGCTTCGAGACCTTGGATCAGGTCTCGCGCAACCTCTTGATGCGGGTAATTTATGAGACGTTTATTGGCGTATTTAGAGAATACAAATGCGTGTAACCTGCAAATTAAAAACAAAAACAAACACAAATTAAATAACATGAGAAAATACACTGTGTCTAAACTACCCCGGCGAAAAATGTTTGGACTCGATAGTATCTAATGTCCGGCACGGTGACGGACAA